GTGTGTGTGTGTGTAAAAAAGTAATGGTTTCTAGAAGGTTGTTTTTTTATTAGTAATTAATAAATGAATTAAATTATTTAATTGTTTAAAATTGTAATGATTTCTCTAAGTCTGTATATTATTATTATTCAATTAATAAATGATAAATTATATATAAATGATATGAATAAATTATTTTTAGAGGGTTTGTTGTTATTATTACTATTAATAATTTACATTTTTTTAAAAAGCAATGTTTGGATTTGTTATCATCATTATGAATCAAATTATTTATTATTTGTTTAAGATGGTAATGATTTATTGGGTGTGATGTTTATTATTATTATTATCTTTATTTTGGGGGGTGGGGGCTTTAGTCAATCAAAATGACCTGGAACAAACAGTAAACAAAGAATCCTTTAATAAAACACTACTGTAGGTTTATCACTTCAGCTCAGCTTGTTTAAACTCACTCCAAATCAGCCTGACTTCCAAACCCTACAGGTTAGAGCCGTTATGTTACTTGTCTTCAATGTACAGTAGTTGAAAACTAATGCCTATGATTAGATACTTAAAGGGATGAACTGTAAGACATTTGGATGAGGAGTAAATTAAAATGAAATGTATTTATGTGCCCCTTTTGTGTATCATACAATATATTTGGCCTTTGTGGTCCATAAAATGACCACCAGTGACATGAGGTTTCTGTGCACTGGAAAGGAATGCGACCTAGTCAAGTTAATGGTAATGATATACTTCAGTAAGTTCACTCACAGAGAGTAGACAGTGTCCTCCTCTATCTTCATGAATCTGAGAATAGAGACAGTACCCAAGCCAAACCGAAACACAGCCAAATCCACAAATCAAAAGACCCAGATTTGGCAAGAGTTTTGAGGGTTAGCTCAATAGAACGGTTAGAATTAACAACAGAAGTCCAGTTCAAAGAACGACTTTGATATCAGGTGACATTAATATGTCCAGTATAAAACATAAGATACCGTTTAGAGTTGCTTTAGTATCCATTTCTCAGATAGATTATAGTGAGACATAAAATATCAAACTAAAGCTGCTTTTCTCTCTTCTTTTAAAGTCAACAAATCAAAATTGACCTTTACTTTTTACTTTCTTAAGACTTGTTTTTGGTCTTATTGTGAAGGATTCACTGGTGCATGTTTTTCCAAAGAAAAAGGTTTGTCTTCTTTCATCAAAATGTAATAATTTGCTCTGCTTCTGAAATGACTTTCAGTTTTGGTTTTACATCACCACGTCCTCTTATTTTTCAACCCTTCCCCTTCAGTCACCTGTCATACAGAGGCCACAATTCAAACAGTTCATGGCAGATAAAATCAGCTCCTGTCCTGGTCCTACATTATTTACTCCTTTTTGAATATCCTGTTTTACTCTTTACTAGTAAAATAGGTTGTGAATGACATTTAATCCTGAATTTAAACAATCCAAATAAATAGAATTCAATTTCCTTTGGTCCTGAGATTGTTGGCATGAAGTTGGCATGGCATATTATTAGCCCATTTCCACCACATAAGGAACAAAATGATTTGGTAAATCATAATCATGACAGAAAGTCATAATTATGGCATAAAAAGTCCAAATTATGAATACTAAGTCACAATTATGAGATAAAATGTGAAATTATAACAAAAAGTCATAATTATGACAAATGTTGACTTTTTACATCACTGTTACAAACTTTATCAAAATTTCTACTTCTATTTTATAATTTTGACTCAATTTCAATTTGTCTCATAAATATGAATTGAATATTCACTCAATTTCGATTTATGTCATAATTTCGACTTGGCTTTTGTATTTTGACGACTTTTTATCTAATAATTTTGACATTTATGTCCTAATTTTTTATTTTTAACCTCATATAAATGAATTAGCATCTCATAATTTTGTCATAATTATAATTTACGAACTTGAACTTGAAAGTTTTGTGTTCTGAATCAAAGATTTGCATTAGTCTTGCACTATTCAAGGATATGCATTTAAATGAGATTTAACTGATCACACTTTTACTCCTGCTGTTCCACTTATTTTTATTTATTTATTGATGAAATAACAGTTGCAGCTTGGACATACTGACACTGACCCACTACTTTTAGTCAGGGTCAGAGAACATCCTGTACAGCTTTACAACCTTCCCTCATGTGCTAATGATGAGTAACACCTCACTGGAACTAGATTCTGAAAATCAGTCCACAGTGAGAGCTGTGAGAGTTAATCAGAGAGTTAATCACAATCGCCTGATGCGAGATAGCAGGGGTCACTGTTCCACTGATGTGTCTTTAAAAATGGCTGACCCGATGTTGTTCTGAAATCTTATTGGCAAACATCATTCTGTCATAGAGTACAGTTTTGCTCTCTCTCTCTATGCACCCTGGTTCAGATGTGCATGACACATCATGACTCTCTGTTCTGTCCAGTGTCAACATTGAGAGCACACCTGCATGTGTCTTTAAAAATGGCTGACCCGATGTTGTTCTGAAATCTTATTGGCAAACATCATTCTGTCATAGAGTACAGTTTTGCTCTCTCTCTCTATGCACCCTGGTTCAGATGTGCATGACAAACAGACTCTGTTCTGTCCAGTGTCAACATTGAGAGCACACCTGCACCTTAGACAAACAGAAATGGCTGTCTGCATGGATGCTCTCTACATAACCAAGAGCTGAGTCACTCTATCAACAAGCCATCAGACTGTAACAGATGGAAACTGAGTGAAGAGGAAGTTCTGGAAACCTGAACAAATGGTCATTAATTATAGACACTATAAACAAACTAAATTAAATAATAAAAAAGAAATAAATCTGAATTCAAATGAAATACATTATTTTTGCGTTATACATCTAACATTACTCTAATATGGAGAAAAGATATGCTGCAAATTAATAAAAAGCAAATATTTACCAAAAGGTATTTGATCATTTGTTTTGGATTTAGTAGAGTGACAATATAAAAGCTAATCACATTGTTTTGGAAATAAACATCTTCATTAAATCCTTGTTAACATTTTATTCTATTTACACAATATAAGTTGTACACTTTTTCAAAAGTTTGGGGTCAGTAAGAATTTTTTAAAAAATTGTTCTAAACAGGATTAATTCAAATTCATTCAATAGTAATAATAATAATAATATTAATATTATTAATAATAAATTAATTAATAAAGTAATTAATTAATAAATAATTTCCACAAAAACATTAAGCAGCACAACTATTTTCAACAGTTATAGATAATAAGAAACATTACTTGAGCATCAAATCTGAAAATTTAGCTTTTCTAACACAGCAATAAAATATATAAATATATATATAACTAATATAATATAAATATATATGAAGATAAATATATTAAAATTGAAAATAGTTTAAATTGTAACAATATTTCACAAAAATGACAGTTTTTACTGTATTTTTAATTAAATAAATGTAACCTTGGTGAACATAAGAGACTTCTTCCAAAAACCACAAACTTTTAAACAGCAGTGTAGATGAAAATGCATAAACAGCTATATATATTAGCATGGGTGAAATCTTTGTAAATGAATCGTCATATTTAGGGGTGATCTGGCAGCAGTGCTATGGGGCTGGTTTAATTGAGCGTTTATTTGCATTGGTTTGGTATCCACATTGGTCGTTTGTATCCAGGATGGTTTTCTCAGGGGGCTGTGGTATGCATAACACTGACATGACCCCACATAACTCTCCTTCACTTATACACCATAAACACTAACCACCCTTACACACACAATGCAGTTAATCATGCTTTATGCGGAAAGTCCATTCAAACCTGTTTTTCAGACAGTGTATGAAGCTAAAGGTTTTTGGGTTAAGGTTCATAATGTAGAACATTTTTAACATTGTATGCTGTATGTGCATAGGTAGCTAGCAAACAAGGAATACAGCTGTTAAGCTAATAGTCACATTTAGCTGAGTAAGATCATGATTGAGAAATGTTGGATACTGCTGGAAATGCTGGTGTTGTGGGGTATCCTATTTATTATTTTAGGATTTTTTTGTTTGCCCCAGTGAAGCATTTCTATTAATATAACTGATTAAGTAGTCAAACTCATTCCATATCAGCAGAATAGTGTGGTACAGAAAGTCTATGTCCATAAAACAGGTTCTGAATGAATTATGTTACTGATAGGCCTACCTAATGGTCAAAGCAATAGCAAAAGTAATAGGTCAATATTGTTAAATTGCAGAAAAAGATTTTGAATAGCTAGGTTGGTTGGAATATGCATGTTTGGTGCGGCAGGGGGCCCAACCTCATATTCTTTCATAGGGCCCAAAATTGCTAACGGCGCCCCTGGCTGCACTCTCAACCATCTGAATGTAAACCTGCCCTGAAAGGAAATTAATTCTCAATGTTTTCTCAACTGCATGTTATAATAAAATAGATGGCTGATGCTAGATGAGCTTCATACAAATGTGTTTTTATGTCTTTACTTTGAGGAACAGTTTTTCCATTTGCAGCAATGCCATTGGAGAAGTGATGTCATTTCCTGTGGTTTGATGATGATGTTAAAGAGTGTTACTCTTGCTTGAATCTGCACCCTTGTTGCAGTGAACAATCAAAGCTGCCGACAGTCACAACAGATCTAGAGGTTAATTCTCACTAATATTCCGTCTTTGCCTTTATCCTGCTCTCTGTGCATGAGCAGCCCTTCATTCCTCTCATGATTAGGCTGAGTTCCCTGTGGAGGAACAGCAGTCTCACCCAAGCATAGACAAAAACATACTCTCAACATCCACATTTTCAAGCCTTGTGTGATGATGTTTGCCACTTTATAGCACATAAAATTATATCATAAACATCCTAGCAACCATTAGAACTCCCAAGCAATGCTGACAACCACTCAGAACACCTCCAAAATTGTATATACAGTGTATACGCACACACACACACACACACCCCTCCAATCTATTCCATGCATCCCGTTTGCTTTTTTGAATGTCTGAACTTTCTAGTTCCACTTTTATTGCAGTTTGACTTTGTAAACTGGTTTATATGTGGACTTTGAACTGTTGCAAATAAACCCGCACTCAGATCTTGACTTTGATTCAGTTATGGTTGTATACTGATTAGATAAGAACTAATTCAATAATTTAATTCTCTCACCTAATCACATTTCCATCACTCCAAAGAGGAAACCTCGCAGACATACCACAGTTAATTACCAAGCATAACATGGAGGCTCTCTATGGGCGTTTGCATAGCAGAAGTGGATGCAGTCATGTACTGTCTGCTTTTGTGGACTTGATATGAAGAAGCAGGGTGATGTGACAGCAACAGGGCCGTGTGTTGCCCCAGGCTCTGGAGACTGGAGCTAGGCCAAATGTTCACATTCCTCCCACTGTTTCCCTGCTGTTCACGCCTCTGCTGTCCGGTGGAAACAGCCTGGGCACTGATCTGAGATCAGTTTGATGTGGTACAACAGGGAACAGCGGCCAAAAGAGCAGTACAGAGAGAGAGAGAAGAGCTCTCACACACCCTTCACTCAAACAACATTTCCCCACCTCTCTTTTTCTCTACCTCGTCCACTTTTGTGTGCTGGAACAAGGGCAGAGACACTCTAGACGGATTTTACAGACAGATCGGGGTGGACATTCAATTCCTCTGCTCTGATTGCCACAGAAGAGCTCTTTTCTTTCAGCCTTAGTTCTCTGTAAGCACGTTTATTCTCTGGGCAAACAGAAGAGCTGTGTGGCCACAGGAATTCCAGGTCAAGGATTCCTCCGGCAAGCATGACTTCACCTGTGACAGGTTCATTTCCTCTCCAGCAATGAGACCAGTGACATTAACTTCAAGAGGAACCAAAGACAGTAACAGAGACTTTTGTCATTTTAGACTATTTGGGGGAGCATAGAGTTCTTTTTGGACATGATGGGGTTGTTGTCAGTGGATCAGAGTGCCGTTTTGGTGGTGGCCGCCCTTTTTGGGATGTACCAGTTTGCTGAAGGGGGATGCTCAGGAGGAAGGTGCTGTCAAGGCACAGATTTCACCTGTGTCACTACAGACTGGAGGATGGACCGTGTCTATGGGACGTGTTATTGTGATGAGAGGTGTTTAAAGACTAAAGACTGTTGCTTTGACTACCCAACAGAGTGTCCAGGTATGTGGTACAGTAATATTTGGGCAGATGACAACCTGATTATTGGGCATAAAAATATTTTTCTATAACATTAGTACATACGTATTTACCAGTACATATTTTAAATAGTATAGATTTAAAATGATAGATTTTATACATTAATGCAGCTAATTTAAATAGTAGGCTACAATGATGTGACAAATGCATTTTTAAAACTACAAATATTTAATGTATGACTTTCAGTCAAAGGAATAGTTCACAAAAAATGAAAATTTGCTGAAAATGTACTCACCCTCAGGCCATCCAAGATGCAGATGAGTTTGTTTCTTCATTGCAGATTTGGAGAAAATGGATCATTTGCAGTGAATGGGTGCCATCAGAATGAGAGTTCAAACAACAGATAAAAACATCACAATAATAATCAAGTACCTCACACAACCCTGTGAAGTGTAAAGCTGCGTGTCTGTAATAAACAAATGAGGAATCATATGGATTATGGACTGGTATTTTGGCCAGAAGCGATAGTTTGAAGGTGCAGTATGTAATAATGACAGCTAGTGGTTGAAATGGGTACTTCAGTCTACATTCAAAATATTGTTTCACCCGCCCCCTCCTCCTCAGACTCTATGCCCACACGGGTTGTCAGATTGAGATCAACACGAATGACTTGCGAAACTGGCAGTACTTATTATAGAATAATATATTTTAAAAGAATATATACTGAATGATATGTTTCAGACATTTAATTGCATGTTATTTACAATTAAATGAAAATGTATTATAGTTTGCATTTATAATAAATACAGTTTGTTGAACTTAAGGTTTTTTTGACCCACTTAAGTAGGACTTATGTACATCTTTCAATGTAATTTCATAATGACTTCTATTGTCTTTGTAAAGTGTGCTTCCGAATGTACTTTTTACATACTTTTTATATTTATAGTAAACTAAAATATACTTTAAAGTAATTTATATTCAAATTGTATGTATACACTTGTAATTACACATTTGTAATGATTAAGTTGCAATTTATGCGTTTTAAAAAAACACAGTACAGTTAATATATCAAGTACTTTAGTAGGTAGGTTAGTAAACACATCAAAATAAGTGTACTTCTTTAAAGCATGACAAAATATAAAATGATAGATTTTATACATTAATGCAGCTAATTTAAATAGTAGGCTACAATGATGTGACAAATGCATTTTTAAAACTACAAATATTTAATGTATGACTTTCAGTCAAAGGAATAGTTCACAAAAAATGAAAATTTGCTGAAAATGTACTCACCCTCAGGCCATCCAAGATGCAGATGAGTTTGTTTCTTCATTGCAGATTTGGAGAAAATGGATCATTTGCAGTGAATGGGTGCCATCAGAATGAGAGTTCAAACAACAGATAAAAACATCACAATAATAATCAAGTACCTCACACAACCCTGTGAAGTGTAAAGCTGCGTGTCTGTAATAAACAAATGAGGAATCATATGGATTATGGACTGGTATTTTGGCCAGAAGCGATAGTTTGAAGGTGCAGTATGTAATAATGACAGCTAGTGGTTGAAATGGGTACTTCAGTCTACATTCAAAATATTGTTTCACCCGCCCCCTCCTCCTCAGACTCTATGCCCACACGGGTTGTCAGATTGAGATCAACACGAATGAGCTCAACTGACAATGGAAGGCAACAAACCTGTAAAATAATGAGTTGATTTATCCGTGTTTTAAGATGCCTGTGGTCATAGAACTTTTTAGGTAGATGCCGAGGCTTTTTAGTTCGGGTAGAATCTGCGATTTCTCATCCAGTTAATTTGCTCGCTACCATGGCTGCAGTACGCTGGGTTTTCTGCAAACTGGCAACCCAGGCTGTCGAAATATTATTGGGTAAACTGTAAGTAGGTGGAATCACACAGACCGAAACAAAAACAGCCATTCCGAAACAGAATACACATTTTCATTTTCAACGTAGAATAGCTGGTTGCGTTATTTTTCAGAGAAACAAGTATGTATACTTAGCATGTTTTACTGAATATCTGCAAATGTATTATGGTGTTTTTATGCTTTAGTACAGTCAAAAAAATTACATACAGCACCTTTAAAGTCGAAATGCCTTGATGATGGATTTGTTTCTTATGAACATGCAGCTTTTCACTTCATAAGACATTAATTGATTATTGGCATGTGGAGGAATTTATATTTTAGGACAATATTTCTTACTTCTATACAAGAGCAGTCAGTATCAAAGCATTCATACTGTAGCAATGCATTAGCTGTCAAATGCAAAAATATTGAGCAAAACTGTCATCTGTCATGTATCCTACACAGATCTGTCAGGGCAGTGTTTGTTTTTACACTGAGCTGTCAAATCCACACTGACTCACTGTTAATGCAGTGCCATTGAAAAACTGTTGTAGGCCTGAGTTATTTACATTTTTTTATAGCACTAATAATGCAAATAAGTTGTTTGCTATGTCACAACATGACACAAACATCACATTAATATTTATATACCAGTAGTTCTCAACCTTTTTGACTCCAAGGCCTCCACCGTCTACAACAATATTTGTAGGCCACATAAATTGTTTGTGATTTACTGGATAAAAATGTTTTATTTTTTAATTTAATTTTTTAAATTTTAATTTTTTTTATTTGACTACCTCAGCTATCCAGATTTTTCAAGACTGGTGGAATCCTGGTTCTTTAATGAATTAAAATAAGACATATCTTGGATCAAGGGTCCCTTGGAGGTTTGCTAGGGCCCACTGGTTTGAACAGCTGAGTACTGTAGATGTCAAAAACCTGGTGATCTTGGTCCCACTTCTCACCTGTGGGTTGTGTTTGTAGCTCAGCTGTGTGTAGTGAGTGAGTGGAGTCACTGGAGCGGGTGCGCTCAGCACTGCCAGCCCTCATTCCGGGTCCGGAGACGCAGCGTTGAGAGACTGCCCCAAAACAGTGGACAGGCCTGTCCAAGGCTGGAGGAACAGGCTGGATGCATGGAGTATCAGGACCGCCAGGGACAGTTTTGCACTTCTGTGCAAGGTATGAATCTGAGTCAACATAGGCTATATTTTAAGCCCAAATGCACAACAACAGATGTTCAATAGTGTAATCATTATAAAGTTTTCCATAGACAACATATATATAAGTAATTTATATTCAAATTGTATGTATACACTTGTAATTACACATTTGTAATGATTAAGTTGCAATTTATGCGTTTTAAAAAAACACAGTACAGTTAATATATCAAGTACTTTAGTAGGTAGGTTAGTAAACACATCAAAATAAGTGTACTTCTTTAAAGCATGACAAAATATTATTAAAACAATAATTAAAATGTAGTTTAAAGTAAAAAAAATTTTTTTTTTGACATTATTACTTTAAAGTAGCACTATGTAACTTTTTCTGTGTTTAAAATTTGCAAAATTTTAATTTGCGAGATGATGAGCGAGAACATCATGAATTCATCTTCCAAACCGCGTTTTTGTCTTATTCCGAATCACTACGGTACACTTATTATAAGTACTTATATTTGGACTATTGTAGCCTGGTCGGGTCGTCACCGCTGCGGAGTAACACATACCTGCGTGAATCGCCATAGACATAAACTTAGAGAAGTAGCTCCGGTTGGAATGTTCTTCCGCGGGATGTGTGCAGTTCTGTTTATTAACCGCTAGAGCGCCAAAAGTTACATAGTGCTGCTTTAAATTGTGTTAAAAACATGAAAGTGTACTCTCTCTTTTTATCTCGTTAATATTATACTATCTGCAAGCAGATTTAAAAAATATATACTTTGTTAGATTTGAAGTACACTACACGTACATATTCAATACAAATAAGTGTACTTCTTTTTCAGTATTGCTTTTTATGTCCTGCCTTCTTGCTTGCACTGGCAGAGATTAAAACACATTTCTAGCTGAAAAACACAGTGCTTCAATCAAAAAACAAGGGATTTTTTTAACTTGATGGTCTAAAATTGATCACTTAGATGTTTATAGGTGGAACTCAAACAGGGACTGTGTTGGATTAATTCCAGGAGCAGCATTCATAACAACAATGGAGTACAGCAAAGGCAGAACACATGATTTGTATGGGGCCCCAATGGATGCTGGGTATGTATCACCATAGATTAAACAAGCACAAAGACACTGTTCGTGATGAGAATTTGTGATGAGAAGCCTGTTTACTCATTTCAACAAATAGTAATTACTTTAAGCCACAAAGACAGACTGCCACAATATTTAATATTTAACTTTACTTCTTGTAATTGCAATTTTATATCTAGTAAATGTGGCTTCTTATCATTTGTATTTTGTAATTGTGAATTGGAACAGTGCTAACACCACAATGTGACTATTTCTTATAACTTTTTCCTCACAATTAACACAAAGGAAACTTTTAAGTCACTTGATGATGGCATGTGCTCCACAGTTTCTGTATGGAGTTCAAGATGGAGTCTCTGACACCGCAGTGCATGGTGGAGAATAGACCCTACACGCGCTGGATGCAGTACTTGAGGGAGGGCTACAGTGTCTGTGTGGCCTGCCAACCTCCGGCAATGAACAACCACAGTCGGAGTTGCCAAGGAGACGGCAACCTAGCTGAGAGGTAGTGTAGCCATAGTGCCACAGTGTTGTTAGAGGACCTGTTTCTGATGCAGCAACAATAGCACATCATCTTGTGAGTTCATTGTGAGGTCAGAGTATGTTTTCATGCTGAAACAACAACAGAATTCATGAGACATTTTGCGAAAGGCTCTTACGGACTTCCTGTGCCATATTAATGGCCCTCAGCACCATTGTGAACGGATGAAATCTGACCTTTAGGATTTAGTGCTAGCAATCTTAATGTAGTACCTGAGGCATATGGGTGTTTCTTCAACTACAGGCTTGAATTTTATTAAAACCATTTCAAATTAAAACGGGATTGAAAACATTTTTTATGACTCCATTGCTTTTGCATACATTTTATGTGTAGATTTTATTATTTTACAAGGACCAGACTTAGATATTTATAATATGAAAATCGGTCATAAAAACATTTCAGTTTTTGACTTACAGTATAATAATCTAAACAAAACGTTAATGAATGTGTAAAAAGAACTTCTATTTTTACATGACTTTCCATCTTGTGCTGTCCATTTCTAACATGACCAACAATTTCCTCCCATAAGTTTTTTTTTTAATTTAATTTTAAATTTTTTAAATAGAGTACTTATTTACAAAGGAGAGCTTGAGTTGAAAGTAAGCTTTTTATTTTAATAAAGTAATACTTTCTTTCAGCAAGGATAAATTGATCATTTGCCAGTTAATACTTTTATAATGCTAAATTTATAGTTTATTTTAAATAAATGTTGTTCTTTTTAACTTCATATTCACCTAACAAATCCTGGAGAAGGAAAAAAACAAAAACAAAAAAACAACTGCATCAGGGTTTCCACAAAAATTTTAATCAGCACAACTGTTTTCATCATTAATAATAAGAAGACAAAGTTTCTTGAGCACGAAGTCAGCGTATCAGACCGATTTCTGAAAGATCATGTGACACTAAAGACTGGAGTTATGACTGCTGAGTCTAAATCATCTTTGCAATCACATTAATTACCAGTGTTGGGGGTAATGCATTACTTTTAAAAGTAACTTTCCCCAACACTGTTAATTACATTTTTTTTTAAGTTATTATACATTTCACAATATTACGTTTAAAAATATATATATTTCTGATCAAATAAATGCAGCCTTGGTGAGTGTAAGAGACTTCTTTCTAAAACATAAAAAAATTCTTACAGACCCCAAACTTTTGAACGGTATAAACTATAAAATAAGCCATAGCAAGACAAGAGTCAAGCATTTTATGTCAGAAATGTTTAAATATCATTTCTATCATGGAACACAATGCAAATGAACTGTAAACCACACAGCTGAAGAATCACTCATAGCGTAAAATAAGGTTTTTGGACCTGCCATCTGATTACCATCAGTACTCTTCTTGTCTTGGCAGGGATGAGCTTCTTCACTGGCAGGCGGCGGGAAGCCCTCCCTGCAGAGGAACATGGAAGAAAGTGCAGAGACTACAGCACTGCTCCTGTCCACAAGTGCACAGCTTCATTTTCATTTAAACATGAGATGCTTCTTCAACCCCTTGATAAAATCCACCAATGAACAATATATCATATTATTACGTCACAAAAAACCCCATCACACTTTCACATACATTTATTGTGTTGTTTGTTTTGTTGAGATTAATTCATCCTGCCATTTCTGCACCCTTGTAATATTTTTTTGTATTCATTTATTTTTGATTTCATTTCTGAAGAGTGACATTATTATTATGTTATATTTTTTCAGGTTGGATGAGATAAAGGGGTTAAAAATCATTCATTTGAAATATTAGAATAAAAAATATTAGAAGCCTTGTGGGCAAAATTGATTTACTTCGTGTGTGGGTTGATTTAAACAAACCTGATATTGTCACACTCTTTGAAAAATGGCGTGTTTTGTGTTTTGGACAGTGTGATAAACCTAACCAATTATATTCTTTATAGGTATGATAGGTGCTCCAGGGTTGGAGGTGTGGCTATGTTTCTATTGGTCTTGTATTTGAGTTGATTATACCTTCAGACAGTTGACACTTTATATTGTGAATGTATTTTTGTTAAGATAATTCTTCATTCATATAAATGTATAACTGTTGGAAGCTATATAGACTACCATCTTCATCCACAATTAATTATATTTTTGGTAAAAATAAAAAAAAAATAAAAAACTGTGATTTTAACAAGAATTGGTTGAATAAGTTGTCTGATAAAGAAAAAAAGATATACTTAAAGGGTTAGTTCACCCAAAAATGAAAATTAGTCCATAAATTACTCACCCTCAAGTCATCCTAGGTGTATATGACTTTCTTCTTTCAGACGAATCCAGTCAGAGTTATATTAAAAATGGTCTTTGATCTTTCAAGCTGTTTAATGGCACTCAACGGGTGTTGCATGCATCAGTCCAAAAGAAGTTAAATAAAAAGCGCCCATATTTAAAAAAAAGTGTCTCACGAGGCTCCGGGGGGTGAACAAAGGCCTCCTGTAGCGAATCGATGCGTTTTGATAAGATGGCGCCGACGCTGATGGCTGCCTCCGTGGCGTGCTCCGCAGTTGTTTTTATGTTTTTGTTAGTTTGTCCTGTCTTTAGTTATATCCCTGCAATCAGTTTCACCAGAGACGAATTGCTGGACATTCGGAAGTACACACCACCCGATATTTCACCGGTTTTTGATTATTCTGATGTTTTGCTGGACATTGTTGTCGGGGGAGCTGCGGCGCTGATCAAACGCTTCAGGACGCGCAGACGGGGGAAGCGAGCCGGCGCGCTCGTCAAGCTCAGACAGCGCGGATTCAGGACGCCGTTGCCAAGCATCCATCTGGCAAATCTCCGCTCTCTACCCAACAAAACGGACGAACTCCTTCTGCTCTCCCGGACAAATAAGGATTTTTCAAACTCTGCTGCTCTGTGTTTCACGGAAACCTGGCTGAAAGACGCCATTCCGGACAGCGCGTTGAGTCTCCC